TTATGTAGCATTTTTTCTAGGATGAGTTTGCAAACTTAATTATCAAACCTCATAGATCATATGTTAGGCCACCAAATAAGTTTTAGTGAATTTTTAAAAATTGAAATCATACCATGTTTCTTCTCAGATCACAGAGATATAAAACCAGAAAACAATTCCAAGAGGAACTCTCAAATCTACACAAACACATGGAAATTTAACAATCTCCTACTGAGAAGTCTTTGGGTCAATGATGAAATCAAGATTAAAATAAAAAAAAAATGTTCACATTCAACAAAAATGACACAATCTTCCAAAATCTCTGAGATACAGAAAAGGAGTGTTAAAAGGGAAGTTCATAGCTTTAAATCCCTCCATCAAAAAAACAGAAAGATTACAAATTAACAATCTAACATTATACCTCAAGAAAACAGAAAAAGAAAAACAAAACAAACCTAAAGCTTGCACAAGAAAGGAAATAACAGCAATCAGAGCAGAACTAAATGAAATGGAAACCACAAAAGAAACACAAACAATCAACAAAAAAGTTTATTCTTTGAAAAGATTAACAGATTGATAGACCACTAGCTAGATTAACAAGGAATAGAAGAGAAAGGAGGATTCAAATGAACTCAATCAGAAATGAAAGAGAAATACAAAATATCTTCCAAGACTGCTATGAAACCTCTCTCTGCACAAACTAAAATATCAAGAGGAAATGGAAAAACTTTTGGAAAGTCAATGCTCTTCCAACCTTATACCAGTATGAAATAGAAATTCCAGAACAGACAATAGTGACTAGCAAAATTGAAATACTAATGAAAAAAACTCCCATCAAAAATAAATGCCAGTATCGCATAAATTCACAGCTAACCCAACATACAAAGAACTGTCACATATCTTACTGAAACTATTCCTAAGCATGAGAAGAAAGGAATCCTCTCACTCTACAAAGCCTGTTTCACTCTGATACCAAAGTCAGTAGAGGACACAATAAAAAAAAGAAAACTACAGACTAATATCTCTCATGAACACAAATGGAAAAATCTTGAGAAAATAATACTAGCAAATTGAATCCCATAGTACATCAAAAAGATAATTCACTATGATCAAGTGATTTCATCCTAGGCATGCAGATAGTTCAACATTCAGAAGTCAATCAATAGGATTCACCACATAAACAGAATTAAAAACAAAAATACCATATGATCATCTCAATAGAAGACAAAAAAGCACTTGATAAAATCCAACACCCCTTCATGATAAAATCCCTCAACAAACTAGACATAGAAGAAACATACAAAAAAATTTTTTAAACACCTTATATGACAAATCCATGATCAACACCATATAGAATGAGGGGAAATTGAAAGCATTTCCCCTAAGAACTTGGATAAAACAAAGATGGCTACTGTCACCACTCCAGTTCAACATAATTTTGGAAGTCCTAGCCAAAGCAATCAGGAAAGGAAAAAAAATAAAGGATATACAAGTCAAGAAAGAGAAGGTCAATCTATCCCCGTTTGTAGATGACTTTATATCTAGAAAACCCTGAAGACTTCACCAAAGAACCCCAAGAATTGAAGAATAAATTCAGAAAAGTCTTAGGTTATAAAATCAGTATACACAAATGAGTAGCATTTCTACACATTAGGAAAAGTCAAGCTAAGAATAAAATCAAGAATTCGATACCATATATAATAGCTTTAAAGATAATAAAATACTGAGAAATATACTTAATCTAAGGAGGTGAAAGATTTCTAGAAGGAGAAATCTGAAACACTGAACAGAGAAATCATACATGGGGCAAACAAACAGATAAACATCCCATGCATGTGGATAGGAAAAATCAACATTGTGAAAATGTCCATATTACCCCAAGTGATGTACAGATTCTAAGCAATTCCTATCAAAATAACAATGTCATTTTTAACTTGTCTTGAAAAAATAAACTTCACATGAAACTAAAAATGAGCCTAAATTAGCTTAAGTAATCTTAAGCAAAAAGGACAATCTGGAGGCATCACATTATCTGATTTCAAATTATACTATTGGGCTATAGTAATCAAACCACATGGTACTGATATAAATCACATACTCCAAGGAACAAAATAAAACTAAAATAATAAATAAATATATCTATAACCAACTGATTTTCAACAAACCACAAAAGCCTACACTGGGAAAAGGATGCCTTATGCGATAAACTGTTCTGGCCTCATACAGGAAAATAAAATTAGATTCCTATCTCTTACCTTATACATAAATTAACTCAAGATGTATTACAGAATTAAATGTAAGACCTGAAACTATATAAAACATAGGAAAAACTCTTCTGGGCATTAGCTTAGTCAAAGTATTGGTGACTAAAACCCCCAAAGCAAATACAACATCAACAAAAATAAATTAGACTTAATTAAACTAAATAATTTCTGCACAGCAAAAGAAATAATCAACAGAGTAAATAGACAACCTATAGAATGGGAGAAAATATTCACAAACTATATATCCCGAGAAGGATTAACATCCAGAATCTACAGTGAACTCGAACAAATCAGTACAAAAACAACAACAACAACAACAACAACAACAAATGGTCACATCAAAAAGGGGGTGAAAGATGTGAAAAGAGTTTTTCCCAAAGATAGACACATGGCCAAGAAATATATGAAAGCTGCTCACATCAATAATCATCAGAGGAATGAATGCAAATGGAAACCAAAATGAGATACCACCTTATCCCTGTCAAAATGGCAATTATTAATAAATAAAAAGCAAGAGCTACTAGCATGATGTGGTAAGAAGGAAATGCTTATATGCTGCTGATGGGAAAGTAAACTAGTACAACCTCTACGAGAAACAGTACAGAAATCCCTCAAGGAATCAAACGTAGACTTAATTTGATTCAGCATCCTCAGGACTGGGTATCTACCCAAAGGAAGTCATTTTATAAAAAAAAAAAAAAAAAAAAAAAAGATACCTGCACCTGAATGTTTATTACTGCACACGTCACAATTGCAAAGATATGGAATCCTCCAAAGTGCTCATCAACTGATGAGCAGATAAAAAAATGTGTTGTATAGATACAAGGTCTAACAATTAAGTTTGTGAACTCATCCTAGAGAAAGTACTACATACGTCATCACTGAATATCACTACAGTAACCTTTGGGTACTCCCCTTAGGAAATTATGCACCCATGCCAGTGCCTAGTCTACTCTTCAAAGTAATTTGGAACTCTTTTTTTAAATGACCATCAGAGCTGTCATCATACAGCACACAAAAACACTCATCAACAATAATGAATGGCTCTCAGTAAGCTACCACCACACTTCAACACAAACACCACTGTGAGACACTGATATACCAAGGTTATGAAACCTTACCGAGCTGTTTGTACGGTGTTGCCAACGTAAGTGTATGATGCCAAGTTTGTGAACTTAATTGTCAGACATCAAACAATTACAGCTCTGATGGTCATTCCAGAAAAACAGTTTCAAATTTGCTTTGAAGGGTGGACTAGGTGCTGGTGTTGGCACATAGCTTCCCAGGGAGAGTACCTCAAAGGTGACCATAGTGATAGTCAGCAACAAGGTATGTAGCATTTTCTCTAGGATGAGTTAACAAACTAAATTATCAGAACTTGAATACAATTGAGTACTACTCAGCCATAAAAAGGAATGAAATAATGTTTGCAACGACTTGAATGGAGATGGAGATCATTACCCTAAGTGAAGTATCTCAGGAGTGAAAAAATAAATACCACTTGTTCTCACTTATATGTGGGCGACAACCAAGTGGCATATATATCATAAAGTTGTGTCATGGACATCAGTGACTAAAAGGGGAGGGTGGGGGAGGAGATGGATAAAAATCTACCTATCAGGTACAATATACACTATTCTGGTGATGGGTACACTAAAAGCCCCAATGTCAGCATTACATAATTTATCCATGTAACAAAAAATACTTGTGCCCCTAAATGTACTGATACTCAAAAAAGAAAAAGAAAACTGAAACTTGGAGAGGTGAAAACACTTGCCTGGGGTTACACAGCTAACATGTGTCAGATAGAACATTCTATTTCAAGAATATTGTAATCATTTCCTAATAAAACAGAATACCTTTATATTCTTTTATAAACCCTATTATTTTTTACAGATTTCAAATGGCATGATCTTACATATCCTGATTGTATCCAAAAAGTTTCTGGGTGTCTTACATTGCTTACCCATTTAATAATGTTTAAGATATAAAATATATAGCCCACGTTTATTTATTGAATTTTAGTAAGACAATTATGTAAAGTTTCTCTTCAATATTATAGATGAAGTTTTATATTGTATAATGTGTATTTTTCACACATAAACAAAATGAACAACAAATCTGCCAAATAATTTGAGACCCTATCTTGTAATTAGTACTGCTCAATCTATGAGACTATACTATCTCTTTTGATATGAATACAACCCTTAGGACTTTTGTTGATTCCAATGTATAGTACCAAATCTAAAATATCACATCTCTTCAAAAGGAAGCATGAGATATCTCATTGTGGTTTTGATTTGCATTTCTCTGATGATTAGTACCTAACATGTACAGTGAACACTATATGGGTGACAGGCACTCTTATAACCTTGACTCAAACATTAAAAGTGATCCATGTAACCCAAATGATTTATATCCCCATAATATTTTGAAATTTAAAAAGTATATATTATGACCCATCTGATCAGTGATTTCATGAGGTTGCTGATTTATGATGTCTTTATAGACAATAAAATCTTAGTACCAAACATAATACCAACATTTCAGAAACATGTTAGAAAAAAGTCTATTGAAATGCTTCAAATTATCACCCTAGAATTATAAAAGGATTCCAATTGGTAATGCAAAACATCTTTTTATTACCAAGGTTAACCCAATTATATCAACATTGTCTTGCACACACTATCTTCATAAAGGCAGCTACATCTTATACATGTATAAAATTGGCAAATATTTTCTTGTGTGTATGCTCACCTGTTCAGAAAAGAAGTCACTGTTATCTTCCAGGTATTTGCTGAAAGGGTTGGGTTCATAGATTTCCTCCTCTTTTCTCAGTAATATTTTGGATTTTACAGGTACTGGGCGAATTACTCCAGGCTTGGTCTTCATAAACATCAAATAAATTTTAAAAAAAGGAAAACAAATATTATTAAAATGAATACATATGTATATTATTGATTTATTCAAATGGTGTTCCCACAAACACTTATAATTTTAAAAGATTTTATAATGACTTTATAAATGCATAAAAATATCCCAAAAATCAAGGGATTTTAACTAACATAACTTTAACTTGGAGTTAACTGTTACAGCAATCAACTCCCCAAAATGTAATACTGTAACATATATTTATTTTTATTTTCATTTTTATTTTTTAGTAAGTCATATATCTATATATCATGAATACATTTATGCCTTCATGTGATTCAATGTGTTGAATTATTATTATGTGTGATTATTTGTACAAATTGGAATGCTTACATCCTACTAATTAACATAGCTTTCACCTCATTTACTTAATCACAGTGTTAATACATTGACATTTGTGTTCAATACTTGATAGATTTGACTTGTACCCTTGCAGTATCTTTCATACATGTGGTCCCACCATTAACCCTCCCTCTATCAAACCACCCCCTCCCTTTCTATCCTACTCCCTTTCATCCTGGGCTATAGTTGTGATTCATCTCTCATATGAAAGTGTGAGTGATTATAAATTGGTTTTATAGTAGTACTGAGTACATTGGATATTTTTTTTTCCATTCCTGACATACTTTACTAAGAAGAATATTTTCCAGCTCCATCCATATAAACATAAAAGAGGTAAAGTCTCCATCTTTTTTAATGCTGCATAGTATTCCATGGTAAACATATAACAATTTATTAATCCATTTATGGGTCAATGGGCACTTGGGCTTCTTCCAAGATGTGGCAATTATGAATTGAGCTGCAATGAACAATCTGGTGCAAATATCTTTGTTGCCAAGTGATTTTTGGTCTTTTGTATATATACCTAGTAGAGGAATTACAGGATCAAACAGCAGGTCTACATTTAGATCCCTGAGTGTTCTCTAGACTTCTTTCCAAAAGGCAATTAAAGCAACATCAAAAATACATTAATGGGATCTGATCAAAGTAATACTGTGACACTTAAAATGCAAAAATGTCTTTACTTATCTACACAGATGTGTTCTATCCTTGCCAGCACATTCAGTCAACAAATATTTTATTTGATAAATATCTACTGAGAATATCCTCTGTTCCAAGTGGCATTCTGGGCATGAAAAAATAGATGACTTAGGCACATCCACCAAACCCATAACAACTTCCTTCTTCTGGAAACCCCTATCCATCAAAATCAATAGCCCAGGGTCCCCAGAAGCCACATTCATGCTATGTATGATGGGATCAGGATGGTTTTCTGACCTAAAGGGGTGAGGAGAGGATAGCAAATACATTTTCTCTCCCAAAAATGTGAACTAGGAATTTAAACAGCTTTGCAGTTACTTTGGGAGATTGAAATTATATGTCAGGGCAGAAGGTGTGAGAAAGCCTTAATTTAACCTAAAGATCATGTCTTTTGAGATCAAGAAAAAGAGTGCAAAGTATGTAGAAAGGCAGCTCAGAGAAGAAATACTTGAGTGTTTTCCAGACACAGATCCCAAAACATTCCTGGGGTCTACCTGGATTTATCCTGAAGTTCCCTAATAGTTTCCTTTCTTTTTACACTATGTTCCTTTTGCAACTTGCAATCACAAGAGTTTCAGCTAATACATCACTCATGCAAGATTCTTAAACTAATACTTAATGTCAACTTGACAAAAAAAAAGGGGGGGAGTACACATGCTGTAGTTCAGAGCAATTTCAAAATTCACAAACACCAAAATCTCATCACACTATAAAATGTCACAACATGATTGATCATTCTGCAAAAACATCCCAAACTAAAATTCAATAAAAAGTTGTTACCCTCCTTCTGTTTAAGCATTTTGCTGCAATTCTTCTTCTCCACTCCTTTTCCTTTCAAAAAATAGTAAATTAGCTTTCCTCGGTCAATGTTGATATTCACATCTTAAGCCTGAAGGGACTACATCTATCTCTCTGCTCTATAAAGCATCTGATGTATTTTGAGTCTTGAATAAATGTTGCCCAGCAATAGTTTTCTCAGTAGATATTTTCCCAGTTGTTTTTCACGTCTATATGACAACTGGGGAAATACAGATTAAGAAAAGTCTCTATTTTCCCCAGGCTAGGAAATATTTCCCACTTAAGAAACTTTGATCTCTCTCAAGGGGAGAAAATGAGCAAGTAACATCCAATTGTGCATGAAATCATGCCGCTGAGGATACGTATGAGAGCAATATTCCTCCTGCAGGTGCAGCACAGAAACAAAGCTGAAGCAGGTACTGATTTCTGCAGCAGCTATAATAAGGGAGGTGGTCTGAACGGTGGTCCTAAGTTGTCCATCTCCTCTCTCCCTTTTTCATTTGATTTCCTATTTCAGTTCTCCTTTGTTCTGCTCCTACTCCTGCTGCTCCTCCTTCTCTTTCATTTCTTTGTGAGGCATGAAATCAATATAATTCCAGTACTGAGATCCCACAAGTTTCTAAGCCCAGTGAGGAACTTTAGGGTCTAAGCTTGGTGTCAGTATGTGCAAAGATGAAGGCAAAGAGAAGAAATTTGATCAGGAGCAGTTGAAATGCTGGGAGACTCTCCTCCAGAAAAAATATGACTGCCTGGTCCCTTCCCTTTACTGCTAGAAAGCAGATAATTTGGGTAATCCTGGACTTTTACCTAGATCATTTTGGGATCAGCCCCCTCCGGGGTGACATCAGAAAGGAGACTCTTTTGATTGGTTAGATATCAAACTTGTTCAGTATTAGGATCAATAACTGATGCTTCATATTTATCTCTCTACCAGCTTTTATATTCCTTAGTTCCTATAAGTTTCCTGGATTTGATCACTGTCTGAAAATGAGACTGTGATTTTTGCCCTATTTCTTCTACTCTATCGGATTTTCTACCTTCTTTTCATGGACTTTGTTGTCCCAGGCTTGGTTTATGTGAAGTCTCTGGGTCTTCCTCATTCTCTTTGTTTACTTGGCCTTCATATTGCGTCCCTGATTCTTATGTTGTATATACATGTCTAACAATTAAGTTCATGAACTTGCCACTGTGCACTTATATTGGCAGCACCATACAAACAATTTGGTAAGGTTTCATAACCTTGGTATATCAGTGTCTCACAACTGTGTTCGTGTCAATATGTGGCAGTGTCTTGCTGAGTGGAGTACATTACTGTTGGTGTATATTTTTGTGTGCTGCCTCATGTCAGAGCTTAAATTAGAGAGACAACCTTTAAATTTCTTTTTAAACTTGGCAAGAATAGAAATGAAATCAGTGACATGTTACTGTGAATTTATGGGGATAATGCCATGAAGAAACAGTATTGTACAAATGGATTGTTTTTCAGATAGGAAAGAAAGTATCACTGAAAAAGAGAGGTCAGGGCAGCTAGTAACGAAGAGAACTGATGTAAACATTGCAAAAATTCATTGAACAGTGTGTCAACATAATCAGCTGACTATGGGAAGGATAGTAGACAAAGTAAACATTGATAGAGAAGCAGTGAGGAAAATCTTAACTGAAAATCTTGATATGAGAAAAGTGGCTTCACAACAATGCACCAGCCTACAGGGCACTGTCTGTGAGGGGGGGTTAAACCAATAAACAACTACACTGAAAAAAATCTTCCTACTCACCTAATCTGGTCCCAAATGACTTTTTGCTTTACCCAAAGATAAAGGAAATATCATAAGGAAGACATTTTGATGACATTCAAGACGTCAAGGGTAACACAATAACTGCTCAAAAGGCCATTCCAGAAAAAGAGTCCCAAAATTGCTTTGAAGGGTAGACTGGGCACTGGCATATGTGCACAGCTTCCCAAGGGAAGTACTTCAAAGGTGACCCATAGTAATATACAGCACCGAAATTTGTAGCACTTTTTCTAGAATAAGTTCACAAACTTAATTGTCAGACCTCATATAATTACCTTTTCCCTTAGTCCTGTTTTTGCTCTTGCACCTTCATTTGTTGATCTAGCAGTCAATATTTCAAGCAAAAGAAGACTAGACACAGCTTGCCTTTTACATTGTTCACACTCATTCTGTGACCTCTAAGCATACCCTCCAAACCCAACTCTCTCCTGGTATTGGTCCAGTTGGAACTCTAATTCTAGTGGCCCAGTTCTGAACCTCATGAATTCTCCAAAATGACAATACACCAGCAAATCATACACATGGCAGTCTCTGCATATTGCTAATGTCTTTTCACATGCTCCAAAAACAGCTCCAAATGCTTGAGGAGCCAGTGCTGCTAATGATACCATTATTATTCCATGGACCCAGATTCTATATTCTATCAAAATAAAATTAAGAACTATACTCAATATTTTAGAAAGATTACCTCATCACTTTCTTATAAACTCTGTGAGAGGTTTAAAGATGAAAAGTTATATGCAGAAATCATACAGTTAATGTGTGAAGTCAAATTTTAAATCTAAGTTTGGTATGATCATTAAGCTTACGATTTTCATAACTTCTATGCCTATTCCAGAGAGAGGGAGAGAGAGAACATACAGAGAATACATAGAAACTTGACATCATTATTAAATTAATACTGCATAACTTCCCTGTCTGAGCAATAACAAAATACTAGCTTTTCAAAAATTTATTTCTATTCCTTTTAAATTCATTGCTTCTGTTATAGTTTCACTTTCAACTGCAACATCCTTGACTTTGGCCAGTCTTACCTCATTTTATTTCAATATTCCCAGAACTCTTAAAAACCAATGTTTTCAGTTCCTGATGTACATAGGTGGGTGGGTGGGTGTGTGTGTATACACATCTACACATCCACCCTTTTCCTACACACACACACACACACACACACACAAATTTACCTCCTAAAAAACTGTAAAATTTCTATGGTCAAGATGTCAGATTTGGGGCCAGGCATGGTGGCTCATGCCTATAATCCTAGCACTCTGGGAGGCTGAGGAAAGTGGATTGCCTGAGCTCACAAGTTTGAGACCAGCCTCA